AATTCTGCTGGAGGCGCCCCACTTCTGCCCAAATTTTGGTGGGGTGCCCCTCTCTTACAGGGGGCACTTCTCTTTTGCTGGAGACGCCACTCTTGTGGGGGCGCCCTTCCACTGCGGGGAACGTCTCTCTTCTGCCAGAGGCACCCCTTTTCTTCTTATGGGGCTCCTGTTTTTTTTTTTCTGGGGCGAGGCGACCCTCTGCTGCTCGGAACGGGGCACACCTCTCCTTTTACTGGGGCACCGCCCCTCTGCTGGGGTTGCCCTTCCGCTGTCGTCAGTGGCGCCCCTCTTGGTAGAATATACTCCTTTTCTTTTTTGTAATGGGGCGCCCCTCTTCTACCGGGGGCGCCCATCTGCTGCTGGGGCGTCTGACTTCTGCCGGATATTGTCAATGGGGCGCCCATATCCTGTTTGGCGGGCCCAACCTCTGCTGGAGGCTGCCTATTTTTGATTAACTTTTGCTGTGGCGCCTCTCTTCTGCTGGGGCGCCCCTCTTCTGCTTGGGGCGCCCGTCTCCTACTGGAGACCCCTCTCTTCTGCTGGGGCGCCCCTCTTCTGCCAGTGGCACCCATTTTCTTATTATGGGGGTCCTTTTTTGCTGGGGCGCCCAGCTGCTGTCAGGGCGCCCCTCTTCTCGGAATGGGGGCGCCTCTCTCCTTTTGCTGGGGTGTCGCTCCTCTTCAGGGGGACACGTCTCCTGCTAAGGGTGCCCTTTCGCTGCCAGGGGCGCCCCTCTTGAACAGAAGGTATTTTATATTCTTGTAACGAGACGCCCTCTTCTGCTGGGGGCGCCCATCTGCTGCTGGGGTGACTCTCATCTGCTGGGAATGGGCAATTGGGCGTCACTCTCCTGCTTGGTGAGCCCAACTTCTGCTGGAGGCGCCCTATTTCTGCTGAACCTTTGCTGTGTCGCCGCTCTTCTGCTCGGGGCGCCCTCTCTGCCGCGGGATATGGGCGCCTTTTTCGGATGGCGGGGGGGGGCGGCCGCCCCCGTCGCCCCCCCCTGGATCCGCGCCTGGTGCTGAGATGCTTCAAGGCTCGTGTTAAAGTTTTTGTTGCAGGGCAAACGTGGGAGAACAGAGTATGCTGTTATTACGTGGGACCCAGCGCTGCCCACTGGAAGACGGGCGGGCGTGCCTGGGCCCTCAGTGCACGGTCACGATTGATGGTGTTGATTCCCTCCATAAAACTGCGCTGATCCCCGTCGATGTTCGTTTGCAGTGTCCCATTGCGGGAGTGGCGTCACTGCCTCACAGAAGGGCCTCTCGTTAAAGGTAGTGTGCCACATTTGAAAGATTTCCCATTTTATTTTTCCTAGGATAAGAAGCTTCTGTTTTTACCTAATATCGCAAAAAAAATCAAAAATGGGCCTGGAATAGTGCCTTTTTCGCCTAAAAGTTTTTCGGTTTTTAGATATGTATAACAACTGTAGTGGGCTCACCTGCAAACAGGCGTCGGGCAACAATCGCGAATGCGGCGCACTTGTGACAATAAGCAAAGGTCATTATAGTGTTACGACCATACGACGTACGGGAATGAGTTATCAGCTGTCTAATCGTAGACAACACAATGTCGAGCCTTAAACTGTAAGCCCGTATTGGTATTGTTTCTTTTATTTGGCTGTCGAACATTATTTATGGTTTGAAATATGATTTTATGTAAAATAATTGATATGAAAAAGCCGTCTTATAAGTTATGACCCCATTTCACCACACGCAAGTGGCAGAAATGACAATGATCAGCTGACGCATTTTTCTTGGCCGAAGTCAGAGCGCGCGGCCCGACGCACCACGCGTATTTGGAAATTCCGACCTCGACGAGCATCAGAAGCCACCTAACAGGCGTGTTCGAAACCGCAGGAGATGATGATGAACGGGTTTATCGAAACTTGATTGGATGAGCATATCGGTAATAGCGATTTCAGTGTGTGCATTTATTGTTCATAGTGGTGTGAAATGTGGTTGGGGTACGACCGACAACCCGTCGCGTCGGGGCGAATTTCGCACTGGGGTACTCAAAATTTGAAGAATTTAAGACGTTTCCATGAGTTTTGAAGGTATGGATAAGTTCTAAAAATCCGGTTCTCCTTATCTGGGCCATTAACTCCATACGGTCCAGGAAAGCTGGCACACTACCTTTAATCGTAATCACAGGGCCGGCGATCCAATCCTGCCTTTGATCCGCGGGCCATCGGACGCTCGTGAATGCTGATTAGTTATGTTTCTGATCATTGCTAGGCTGCTCAGATGAGGCCGTAACCCAAACAGCGGTATCGGCGAGCAGTGCTCGGTCTGCCGACCTGCAACGGCCGGTCAGGGGCGGCGCTATCCCCTGTCTGACCTTGTCCTGGTAAGGGGCTGCTACCTGCCTGACCTTATCCTCTGGTCAGAGGGGCCGCTCCGTTCCTGCTCCTGCCCTGGTAAGGGGCGATCCCCTGCCTAACCCTGTCCTGATGAGGGGCCACTCCCTGGTTGACCTTGTCGTGGTAAGGGGCCGCTCCCCTATCCTGTGGTCAGAGGGACCGGTCCGATCCTGTCCTGTGATCGGAGACTGAGGGCCGCTGCCGTTCAGGAGCCGCAGCCCGTCCGACCCTGTCCTGTGGCCGGACGGCCGCTCCCCTGTCAGGCCCCGCCCTGTGGTGGTCAGTCGGCTGTTCTGTAAACACCACGGTGCGGCGATACCGGGAGGGATGCCGCCGCGATGACCGCTGACCTGGTGCAGATGCCGGCCGGCTGCAGATCGGGAAGCTGGAATGTGTTAGCCTGTAGGGTGCGGCAGGGTTGTTTGGTTTGTCGTGGTCGAATCATTCCATCACCGTGCTGCCATTCCTGGCGCCGCGCCTCGGCCGTTCTCCAGCTCCAGAGCCGCTCCTCTCCCCTGCGGTCTGCGCCCGTGCCCTCCTCACCCGCCGGCCCATCAGGTCACCTCGGCCGTGCGTGGTCCTGTCGGGCGCCGCCCGTTCGCTGTCGCGTGCCCCGCCCGGCCCGCCGCCCCCCGGCTGACCCACTGCGAGCCCGTGGATCACGGGCGCGGCGCGGTGCGTCCCGCCGGTGTGCCGGCCGAGTTACCGGTGGGTAATCAACAGTGGCCGCCTAATGACGTGTCGGACCGCCCGGGGCACCGGCGCCGGCCAAATAACTAACCGGACCATCGATCGAACACGCCGCCCCGCTGCCCGAGCGGCGCGGCTGCGGGTACCGGACGACCGTCTGCGGACCGTAGCCTTCTGCGGGCTGCGGCGGAGACGATACCACCGCCGTGTCCACTCGTCTGTGCTGTTCGTTTGTCTGCCTGGTGTGTCCGCCGTGTTCGCCGGCGGCGGCGCCCCGTCTCCGACGTGCCGAGACCGGTCCTCAGCAGTGCGCCCCGCCGTGTTTGCGGCGCGTTTCTCGCTGCTGTTGATGGCCCAGAGGGTCTACCGGCGGCCCCACAGCGCCGGGCCGGCTGCGGCGTGCTCAGGTGCCGCCTCGTGGCGCCGCGCGCGGCCTAATGGCGGCTCTTGACGCGCTCGTTAGTGTTCGAGAGGCGTGCTCCCCCGCCCGCGGCTACCTCCGTCCACGGCAGCCTGGCTGTGGGGGTGGCGGTCGAGCTGGCGGCGGAAGTGCGGGCCCAGGTGGCTGGTGCTGAGACACGGGGAGGGTTTGTATGACACGGAGCCACGTGAAGCTTTCTGACTGCTGACGGACGCGACAGCCGACAAGTGCTACCGTTTACCCATGCTACCTGTGCTGCCTGGCCCACGGCTAGAGGGCGATGTGATGCATCATCTCTGCATCTCGCTAAATTGGTGATTCCTGATGGCCAGGAGGCAGTCGAGTCGATGCTCAGTCCTGCTGGCTGTGTTTTCAGCCCACCCCGTGTGTCGTGGCTGTGAAATGGCGAGCTGTTACGTGGCTGTGAAATGGCGAGCTGTTATCTGCGGCATCAGGCCGTCGGCTGCGAGGGCGGATCGGCGGCCGGAGATTGCGGGCCGCGCCCGGTGTCGGCGGCGGCTGTTGCGTGTCGGCCGGCTAACACCGGCGTCCGACAGGCCTGAGAAGCGTCAGCCGGCCGGCCGGCGCAGCGCGGACCGGCTGCCTGTTTTTCTCGGCCCAGCCGCGCCGGGGCCGCGTCGGGCCGCTGGCACTTGGCGGCGGCTAATATTTCCCCAGATAGCGCGGCTTCTTACCAAATGAAACGGTTCCCCGGGGCCAGCTCCGACGCCGGGGCGACGGTAAACAGGGTCCGTTATTGTAAAACGTCTCAGTTTCAGAGGAAAACGTATGATAATGCTCGCCCGCGCCGCGTCTAAAACAGTGCGCGGTGGCACTGATGAACGTGTGCTCACTGCTCACTGCTCACTGCTCAGTGCTCACTGCTCACCGGCCGGCTCCGGCGAATCATTCGGCCCTCTCGCGGGTGTCCCGTTTCGGCCGGCGGTTTGCGGCGTGTCGGCTGCGTCGTGCCGCCGGCTGTGGGTCGTTGCTAGCGGCCGTGGTCGTTGCGCCATGATAGGCCCGTTGTGCGAGGCTGCCGCAGAAACGCGCGGGGCCTGCGGACCAGGCAATCGAGCCCCGTCCAGTCGTTCCACATTTCACGGATGGACCAGGGCACTGGATTGTGATATTGGGCTCTTTTGATTTTTGGAAGTGACTGTGTTTGCTGGTGGTGGATTTCCATGCCTGGGATTCGTTTAAAGCTGATGGGTGTTAGTTAATTGCCGGCTGACTGATGGGTAGTAATAGGTCACTTTGTGAGTCGCCTCTGTCACGACGTTCGTCTGTGTAACTGTCACTGTCATTCAGTGGCCACTAGCTTAGTCACCACTCAGTGTCAGCCCAGTTCAGTGATTGTGAAGGTTAGTAAATACCATTTTAGTCCATTTGCTGTTCGCTGTGTGATGTATGGGTTTGCATTATTTTGGTTCCGTTACGCTGTATTATGACAGTTGGTATCCATATGACGGTAGGTGGTGTTCTCTGGCGGGCGGTGTCACTGACGGGCGGCCGTCTGTGTTTCAGCTGAAGTTGGCGGCCGTGACCCCTGAGACGGGCGGCTCTTCTCGGCTGGACAGTACGAGCGGCAGCAGCAACGGCACGTCGCGTCTGAACGGCTCGGCAGCGGCCGCGCACGCCGACATGGCCAACCCCGACTGCCTGTGAGTGAGCGGCCCGGTCCGGCCCGGGCGGCTGCCACTGACCTCCCCGTCCCCACAGATTTGCCTGTGAGTGATCGGCCCGGCCCGACCTGACCCGACCTGACCCGACCCGACCCGGCCCGGCCCGGCCCGGGCTCCCTCTGACCTCCCCGCAGCACTGTCTGACCGGGCTGCACCGGCCATGTTCTGTCATTGGCCGACCTTCATAACCCTTGTCTGACCTGTCCGTGCCGGGGATACGACGTCTGGACGACACAACTATGACCGCCAGGTCACCTCACACGGTCGGCGATGGCTCGGCCCGACTGGAAGGTCACCGTGTCCCCGCCGCTGACACGTTGAGTGCCACCCCAGGTCACCGTGTCTCCACCGCTGACACGTTAGAGCGCCACCCCAGGGCCCAGGTCACCGTGTCCCCACCACTGACACGTTATGTCCGGAGGTCACAGCGCCCCCACCGCTGACACGTTAGGGCGCCATTGTGTGCCGTCGTATATGCCGGCTGAATGGGCCGCCGCACCGGCGCGGTGTGGTGGTCGGGGCAGCTCGGGCGGCTGTCTCAGCCCAGTGTGGGGTGCTGTGGTGGGTCACGGGGTCCGGACGGTGCACTGGTGATGTGGGCCGAGGGGCCCTGTGTGCGGTGGTGCCGATGTTTGACTCGTGACTCCGTGGTGGATGAGTCCGTGTGTCTATGTGTCTCCGTGCCCACCTCTGTATGGCGTTCGATCGGTCTCCATGTATATCCACCCGTACCCTACAAATGGTTCATGGACGATTTGTCCAGTCGATCGTTTCCGTTTTCACGACATAAGCCGCTCGTACCCGGCTCCGTCGAGCCGTCCAGCCGGCTGGCAGGACCTGTGTGCCCCAGCGTCGCCACCGCCGCTGAGCAGACAGCGCCGGCAGCGCGGCCGGCCGCCGCCGGCACCGCGCCGGTCCAGTGCCGCCGACCCGCTCTGCGGCCGAGCGGCTAGCGCCGAGTGGGGCGGGCCAGGGAGAGGGGTGGGATGTTTTGTCGGCAGCGGCCGCCGCGCCGGTGGCTGGCAGATCAAACTGATGGCGACTCGTTGGAGGTGCAGATTTAGAGCCGGCCGGAGGGACGAGCTGTCTCGGGACGCGGCGGATGGGACTTGATTTACCATCTCTGCGAGCCCTATCTCGGCTGTATTTACCGTCACTGACTGATTTATTGCCACTCGAGACGGGCGTAATCCGCACTGCATCTTCGGATCAACGCTTAGCCCCGTATGTGTTTGAATGGCATTCCTGCCCCATTGTGTGGCTGAGTGTGTGTGTTAATGTGTGGGTGTGAAATGGCGTGCGCGTGTGTCCAGGTATGTCGTCCGAGCGTATGTGTACCCTTGCTAAGGTGGCGGCTGTCCAAGCTCATTTAATCCTTGCTTGTACTAACTACCGAGATATAAGTTCTTGAAGTGTCTGCATACTTTCTACATATGGCTACCCGCTCCCCTTTGCTGCCACTAATCGCTTCAGGCGCTGAGTGTGACACGCCCGCTATGCGCCCCCCGTCATGCTGAATGCACCTATAGCACTCGCAGGCGGTGAAGGGTGCCATCCCTCCACACACTCCCCCGCCCCGACTGACTGGCCTCTGTCCGTGGGTGGCTCGGCAGCGTCCTGGAACGTGTCCAACAGCGGAAAGAGCGCACCGTTAAGCGTGTCGAGTTCTCACATAGGTGAGTTCCTGCCGGAGTCGAGTGACGGTGTCGGGCCGCCACCGACTGACGGTGGATGGTCGGGTGGCTGTGGTCTAGCTGAACAATGAACATGGTCTCTATGGGTTGGGTGGGTACTGGGTCCGAGTGGCGGCGCATGGGGTGCTGAGCCAGCTCTGGGATGGGATTGTGATGCACCGGCTCTCCGGTACTGTGCAGCTCTGGCTCTGGGTGTTATGCTGCGCCGGTCCTGGGTGTTGTGGTGCGGCAGCTTAGGGTGGGGTTGTGCAACACCGGATCTGGTATTTTGGTGCACCTGCTGAGGTGTTATGCTGCGCTAGCTCTCCAGCCGGACTGGCGCCTCTGAGGCGGTCGGCCGCTGTCCCACACCAAGGGTAGTCACTGACTGAGTCGGCCGGGGGTGGACACTGGGGAACCCACGGCCGCTGTCCCACACCCAGGGTACCCACTGACTGAGCCGGCCCTGGGTGGACGTTGCAGGCGCGTTCTGCTGGAGCCGCCGGCCGAAGCCGACCGCCAGACCGAGTCGTAAGGAGCGCAGACCGGCGCAGACCCGTGAATGACCGGCCGTATTAGTCCTCAGCACAAGTACTCCATAGGTCGCATAACACTCCTCTCGCTCTTGTTCGCCTGCGAGGGGCGAGCGGGGATCGGTCTTCTTCTAGCTGACTATCGAGCTAGTTCATTCTGTCTCCTGTCGTATTGTGGTGCCTGCGGAATCAGCCTGCCTCTCTTCGCTGCTTTGTACTCAGTTTTCAGTCCTCTCTCTTCATTTCGTGCTATGACACATCCCTTGTGTGGCGGTTGCTGCCGTGACCGCTGTTAGTGAGCAGTCGCTGCCCCGGCGCCTGTCGGCTGTGGGCTGGGCTCGCCAGGGGCTCGGCCCGTGTCATATCTCCGTTAGTCCTGCCACCTTCACGGAGATAACGCCACATCTGCCTCCCATTCAGAGTCCTCAGAATCTCATTCATCTTTCTATAAACGCTCCAATGTGCCATGATCCGATGAATTTTCCTTCGTGTGACCCCTCTCGGAAGAGTCTCGATTGTTCTGCGCTGGCTGTGCCCATTGTTTCGAGGTCCTTTGTCCGGTGTCAGAAATAGCTGGCCGGCAGTGTCCGGTGCGCCGTCCCGTCCCGGCTGTGTCACGTGCCGTGTCTCCGGGCCCGCCGGACGCCATCGATCTGTGCCCCGTCCGGCGGGGAGCGCCCGCCCGCCGCTCAGGTGCCGCGGATGTAGACGTCCCCGTCCAGCGGGAACCGCCCGCCCTCCGCTCAGGTGCCGTGGCGGCTGTAGACGTGTCCCCGTCCAGCGGGAACCGCCCGCCCGCCGCTCAGGTACCGCGGCGGCTGTAGACGTGTCCCCGTCCAGCGGGAACCGCCCGCCCGCCGCTCAGGTACCGCGGCGGCTGTAGACGTCCCGCCTCATCCTGCCCTATTCGTCGCCACGTGTCTCAGATGTGAAACAGTCGCCGGTGAACCATTCCCTGCAGACTGCAACTATTCCTGCCCGCCCCTGTTACGTCGCACCTCTGTCTCTCACGGGTCCTCTCGTCTGGTGAAGCCATGTCGGCTCGTGTCTCCTCCCGTGTCTCCCGCCATGTCTCGTATCCTGTCTCCATCCGTTCCTGTCTGTACAGGGGCGGCTAATTGGATACCGGCGCCGCCCTCTGTACCGCCCCCGCCCCGCCCGTCCCTCCGCCCCGCCCCCGCCCCCGCCGAGCCGCCGCCCCCACCCGGCCGGCTCAGCCGCCGAGTCGTGGTGATGCCCTAGACCGCGCGACACTTTGACACGGCGGCGATACGATCTGACAAACGAGCCAGCGGCGGCGGACCGGGGACGCGCCCGCACCGGAGAGACACAATGTCCCCTTCCCGCCCCCGACTGGCGGCCGCGGCTGCGGCCTACGGGACTTAGCAGCTGCCATGTCAAGCCGCTACGGGACGGCGAAATCCGACCGCTATTGAGTCCGCATGGAAAACGCCCGAACAGTTTGTCGCAGCAGAAGGTGACGCTTCAGCCACGGCTGCATTCGGCCAGCCCCTCTGAGTGCTCCGTGCTATGATGGGATCGGCCGGGCCGCGGCTGTGATCAGCTGGTCCGTCGGCGCCCGGTGGCGGCCGATTCGGCGCGGACGGGACGGCGGGCACGGCTCAGCCGGCGCCCATACGATCTGCGCTATGGGCCGGCTCGGGAATGGCCATTGGCCGGCCAGCTCTGACGGCCCCCGCCGAAATGCGCCGCGCTTCACCTCTGGGTGTGCCGGTAAACGACGACAGAATCCAACGAGTCGCTCTATACGGCTCCCGTGTAGACTCTGCCGGGCTGGTGGATGTCGTATCCAGAGGTCCGACGGCTCACCGGCGGCGGATTGAACGCGGAGGGCTGTGGAAGGGGCAGTTGGAGCGATGAATGTATCTGTTAGGTCCACAGAGTCACCGGTGGTGGACTGAGTCTGGGGACTGGGCTCTGGGGTGGGGGCATTTTAATGACACGGGCTCCTAATGAGAAACAGAATAGTAAATTCTGGTCTCGTCACCTGCCCAGCCTTTACCTTTACCGCAGCCTCCATCCGTTGGAAGGGGAGACAGTCCCCGGTTGTCCGACATCAGATGGTACCGCACCATTTCCATCCACCTCTGTGCCGAGTGACCTCAGAGCGGATGCCAGTGCGTGTCGGTGTGTGTGACTGCTGTAGTGTCTACTCGAGGTGTGACTGTCGTACCGTCTGCTCGAGTTGTGTCTGTCGTACCGTCTGCTCGAGTGCTCCCCGGGAGTTCGGGCGACGTCTGGCCGGGCTGACCGGCTGTGGGACGGCCACCTGCCCGCCCGCCATCACAGCCCAGCGGCGGCAGTGGAGTCGCCACAGCCGTAGTTACCACTGACCGTCTCCTAGTGACCGCATGCCGAGAGACTTGGCAATGGGCATGCGTATTTTGCTCAGTGTTTTTACGTTTTGCTCGTGCCATGCACCGTTATGCCCATCAATGTTAGCTCAGCCATTTAGCACTGTTTTGGTTCGTCACGTTACTCTCGTTTGCTTTTTCGTACTGTTTGCTCGTAATGTGCCCGCATTATGTTATCTATCGTTTTCCCTGTGTTGCCTACCGGGGTGCGCTGAGGTCATCACAACGTTCGATATTTTACTACGATTGACGTCAGCATATGATAAGAAATACGTATAGCGAAGTGTAAACTTTAATTGAGTATTCGACATTCTTCATAACCACGCGACTGAACCTAATGGCAGACTTTGCAGTATAACTTTGCGACCAAATCAAAGTTCCGTAACTGGGATGACGTCTAGGCAAATCCTCGGCGTCTTTCTCCGGTTTGTATGACCTCGGCGCACCCCTGCCCCGCCGGCGGCTGCCGGGCCGCTGGCTCTGACCGGCGATGTACCCTGTGCCCGCTGACTGACCGGCCCGCGCCGGCCGCCGACCGCCGCAGGCCGGAGCTGTCGGGCGGCGACGGCGAGACGCTGCACTTCAGCGCCGACCTGCAGTACCACACCCAGTACGAGCGGCAGCAGTCGCCGCCGCCGGCCGGGCCGCAGACCAACGGCGGCGGTCAGCCGCAGCCGCAGCAGCAGCTCATCAGCCGCACCCAGAAACAGAGCACCACGCAGCAGGTAGACGGGGCGGGACTATACAGTATACATAGGGGGGGGGGGGACTAAACAGTATACAGAGCACCACACAACATGTAGACGGGGACTATACAGTATACATGGGGGGGGGGACTAAACAGTATACAGAGCACCACACAACAGGTAGACGGGGCGGGACTATACAGTATGCAGAGCACCACGCAGCAGGTAGACGGGGGCTATACAGATGACAGTTACACACTATACAGAGCACCGCTCAACAGGTAGACGGGGACTATAAGGACTAAACAGAGCACCACGCAGCAGGTAGACGGGGGACTATACAGTATACATAGGGGGGGGACTAAACAGTATACAGAGCACCACACAACAGGTAGACGGGGACTATACACTGTACAGACACAGCCGGTATTGGGGGACAATAGTCACAACAGGCAGTGGGGGATGGACTATACACCGACACAGATACTGGGACGGCCAGTGGACCAGCGGAACAGGACGGGATGGGTCGGGCGGGGCTGAAGGTGATCACAGACAGTAGTTAGTACCCGGAGTAGGGTTCCCGGTAACAGGGGCGAGTCAGACGGCACTAAAATGTGTTCAGACACGAACAATGCAGTGGGATACAAGACGGGGGTGGGAGGGTATCGAGTGTCTGGTCATCTGATCATGACACCGGTCGGCAGTGTTTCATTTTTCAGCCTTTTTGGTGGCAAATCACACCTAATGGGGAAAATATTTTCATCTCTAAAATATGAATGACCAACTTTACTTCATCTCTGAAAAGAGTTTCATGTATTCCCAACAGCCAGTTCACTTGTCACTTGACAGTTGATGCACCCACATCCTTTTGTTCCACACCCTGTCAAGATCCTGACATGAAGTCCTGGTTTATCAGTTAGCATAAAAATTGGCATTACACCATTTTGCAAAAATACTGCAGTTATTTACTTTCTTTTTTTCATCCTGTAGCGTGACGCAAGGATGAATGTGAGCCGTATAAGTGTGAGTCAGCTTCAGCGTCGAGCTGTGAACCGGTGACCCAGCGTTGGTCATAGCCGCCGGCATCTGATGCCGGCAGGGCCGAGTTACACCCTGCAAGTAGCTGGGCCGGGCATGACGTATGGGAGCATGATTGGCTGGTTATGATGTGAGATATATGACGTATGACAGCGCGATTGGTTGGTGATGATGTGAGATGTGTGTCTGCGAGCTGTGGATGTGCCAGGAGGGGGATTGTGAGTTTAGTTGGCTGGAAGGTGTAGAGGAGAGCAGAATAGATCTTCTTCTTGTGCTGGACGGTGACTTTTAAGTCAGTACGACAAGCTATTTCGGCCTTCTCGACTAAGTGTTGTGATTATGTCTGACGTAGAAGAGGGCAGTGGTGCACCGGTAGCTGGTACCAATACCATGGAACCAGAGTTTCCTGCGCCTGCATTCGATCTGCGGGCAATACCGGAGTTCGACGGCAGCGGTGACGTCGTCAGATGGCTGGAGCAGGCGACACAGCTGTGTGCCCTGCGTCGTGTGTCACTGGCCGCTGTCATACCCACACGCCTGAGGGACCAGGCGTACGAGGTGTGGGCCACCCTCTCCTCCACCGAGCAGCGGGATGCTGCAATCGTCCGCCAAAAACTGCATCGTGCATTTGCATTGGGACCCGACGCGGCTATGTATGAGCTGTATCACCGACGTCTACAACCGGGCGAGTCTGTGGATGCCTACCTGGGATCAGTCAAGCGGCTGATATCCCTCATAGGTTCAGTGTCCAACGAAGTGATGACGACGCACTTCCTGCAAGGTCTGCCGCCGGAGGTGCGGCTAACAGTACGTAACAGTGCTGGAGATGAAACTCTCTCCTTGGAGCGAGCCGTCGCCGTCGCTAGGTCAACGTTGGCGATGGCGGCCAGGGAGAGAGCGACTGCATCGGTGGCTGTCGTCCAGCCGCCGCCATCATATGTACAGCAGCAGCGGGGAGCCAGAGGGACGGGTCGCCGTCCACCACTGCGGTGTTGGACCTGTAACCAGGTAGGCCACATCGCCCGGCTCTGCCCAAACGGGCACGGCGACGGCGCTACATCAGCGCCACGGGCTCCGCCGTCGCCAGCTGCCGCAGTGACCCAAGAGCCCCCATCATCGACATCAATGTAAATGGGCGCAAGTGCCGAGCACTCGTCGACACAGGGTGCAGCGAGACAGTGGTGTGGAAGGGCATGGTGTCCTGCTGGGAGCGGAGTGACGCCAGCTTGGTCGCTGTCAACGACAGCCCGGTGCTGTGCTGTGGGCGGGCTGTGGTCAGCCTTGGAGTGCGCGGGGCGACAGTGAGTGTGCGGGCGGTCGTCGTACCGGCCCGGTTGCTGGGCGTAGACGTGTTGCTGGGCATGACCGGCATTGACGCCCTGCAGGGCGTGAGTGTAAGTGGAGGATCCGTTCGCTTCGGGAGCGACAACCCAGTTGCGAGCGTCGACACGGCTGCTGTGGTGCAGCGTGAGGCCCCGCCGGAGCGGGAGGTGTGTCGTGCGGTCGACACGGCTGCTGTGGTGCAGTGTGAGGTCCCGCCGGAGCGGGAGGTGTGTCGAGCGGTCGACACGGCTGCTGTGGTGCAGCGTGAGGCCCCGCCGGAGCGGGAGGTGTGTCGAGCGGTTGACACGGCTGCTGTGGTGCAGCGTGAGGTCCCGCCGGAGCGGGAGGTGTGTCGAGCGGTCGACACGGCTACTGTGGTGCAGCGTGAGGCCTCGCCGGAGCGGGAGGTGTGTCGTGCGGTCGACACGGCTGCTGTGGTGCAGCGTGAGGTCCCGCCGGAGCGGGAGGTGTGTCGAGCGGTCGACACGGAGCCGGAGCTAAGGATTGACGAGACTGACTTCACGGCTGTGTTCGATGATGTGTGGACAGTCCGTTGGAAATGGGCCGATGGCGTGGCTCCGCCCCCGCTTGGAAACTCGATAGCTCAGTACGGTGTGCCGAGTTGTGCGCGTGAAAAATTCGATGCAGAGCTGGCGCTGTGGATTAGTGAGGGCTGGCTGCGCGAATACGATGAGACGATGTACGGTCCCGCACAGGGATTGATCCCGTTGATGGTGGTTACTCAGGCAGCGAAGGACAAGGTGCGGCCGGTGTTAGATTATCGGGAACTCAATCAACACCTGACACGTCACACAGCCGACGCTGACGTCTGCGTGGAAGAGCTGCGAAGGTGGCGACGTCACGGACGCCGGGTCGCTGTCCTGGATCTGAAGAAAGCTTTTCTTCAGCTTCGTGTGGACCCGGCCCTGTGGCCGTACCAGACAGTCATCGTGCAAGGGCGGCGGTACTGCCTGACCAGGGTCGGCTTTGGGCTCAGTATCGCGCCTCTGATCATGAAGGCTGTGGTCAGGAAGGTGCTCGCACAGAGCCCCGGGTTGGCAGAGGCAGTGCTGCCTTACGCCGATGATCTGCTGGTCAACGAAGCGGTGGTCTCGGCTGATGAGGTTGCCGAGCACTTCGCTCGATTCGGGCTCACATGCAAGCCGCCGGAGCGGGTCGCGACCGGTGCACGTATGCTGGGCCTTCGTGTCGCCGAGAGCGACGGGCCGGCACTCCAGTGGAGTAGGGACGGGGAGTCACCAACGCAGACTCCACCCGTGCTAACGCGGCGATCTGTCTTCGCGTGGGCCGGCCAGCTGACATCTCATGTGCCGGTCGCAGGCTGGCTGCGGCCGGCCGCTGCATGGATGAAGCGGACTGCCAACCGCCTCAGCCCGGACTGGGACACTCCGATCGTCAGCGAGGAACTACAACGTGAGGTGGATGAGGTGTCACGGCGGTTTCGAGCATGTGACCCGGCACGCGGCCAGTGGTGTGTGACAGGGACGAGCGTCGTGGTGTGGACCGACGCCAGCTCCATCGCCCGCGGTGTCGTGCTCACTGACCCTGACACGGGCGCCATCATCGAGGACGCGTCCTGGCTGCGTGCCGAATCGGAGAGGGACGTGCACATCAATATCTCAGAACTGGATGCCGCTCTCAACGGTGTCAACCTGGCGGTAGCATGGGGCTTCCGTCGCCTGACGCTCCGGACAGACTCGGTGACGGTGCACCGCTGGCTGAGTGACGCGCTGTCGGGTAAGGCAAGGCTGCGAACCAAGGCGCAGTCCGAAATGCTTATCCGACGGCGCGTGGCTGTTTTCCGTCAGCTCGTCATCGAGTACGAACTGGAGGTCACTATCGAGCTGGTCGCGTCAGCGGTCAACCGTGCTGATGAGGTGACGCGGGTGCCCAACGCCTGGCTGCAGACTGCCGACCAGCCAACCACTGATTCGTCCAAAGCACAACCGGTGGCTGTCGCTGCCATCACAAGTGCCTCAGCGAGTGACATCCGCACCATCCACGAAAACATCGGTCACCAAGGAGTGAGGAGAACGTTGTGGTACGCCCGACGTGAGCTGGGGGTGAGGCGGGTGTCAAAACCAGCTGTGCGAGACGTGGTCAGACGATGCCAGACGTGTGCCTCGATTGACCCGGCGCCGGAGCGCTGGCCCGGTGGGTCACTCGGAACAGAACGCACGTGGGATCGCCTGGCCATGGATGTCACCCACGTGCACGGCCACCCATACCTGACGCTGGTGGACTGCGGGCCGTCGAGGTACGCCATATGGCGACGGCTTCGCCGGGCAGGAGCTCTGGAGATTGTGAGTGAGCTGGAGAACGTGTTTCTAGAGCGTGGAGCCCCGGCGGAAATACTCACGGACAATGCGACAGAGTTCCGTGGCCGGGTCATGTTAGCGTTCGCGGCTCGCTGGGACGTATCCATCCGGTTCCGCGCTGCCTACGAGCCCGGCGGGAACGGCATCGTCGAGCGCCATCATCGTACCATCAAAGTGATGGTGGCCCGGCAGTCCTGCTCCGTTGCTGAAGCAGTCCATCGATACAACGTGACACCGAAGGATGGCAGTGACCCGGCCACAGCTCCAATCAACGGGGTGCTTCGACACCCTGGCCGAGACGTTGACGTGACGCCCCGCAGAACCTCAGACGAGCCTGGTGACGCCCTGCCGCTGAAGAAACCCGGTGTATACCAGGTAGGGGACAAGGTGTGGGTTCGGCGGCGGGGCGACCGATGTTTTGTAAAGTCAGACGAGGGTATTGTGACAGGCGTCGTTTCGGCCCAGACAATCGAAGTCGATAATGTCCCACGACATGTGCGAAACCTCCGACATCGGTTGACCGTCCCTGAATGTCCGAGGCCAGGGGCTCTGCGAGCGCCAACGGTGGAGTGGTCTGATGACAGCGAGTGTGATGGCGTGTGTGTGTCGCCAGCTCCGAGTGATGTGACGGAGTCGGACACGCGGCCGCCCAGCGTCGCTCAGTCCCCGGACCCCGATCCACCGACCGGGTCCGATGTGTCCGCAGACGAGAGTGAAACGTTCGTGCCTGCGACGCTGCGGCGTGGTACGCGTGTTCGAAGAGAGCCGGAAAGATATGGCGATGGTGTGCCAGAGGATGTAGTTGATGCGTTGATTGAATGACATGTAACATGTAGAGTAATGTGGTTCTTCAGAACCAGGGGGTGATGTAGCGTGACGCAAGGATGAATGTGAGCCGTATAAGTGTGAGTCAGCTTCAGCGTCGAGCTGTGAACCGGTGACCCAGCGTTGGTCATAGCCGCCGGCATCTGATGCCGGCAGGGCCGAGTTACACCCTGCAAGTAGCTGGGCCGGGCATGACGTATGGGAGCATGATTGGCTGGTTATGATGTGAGATATATGACGTATGACAGCGCGATTGGTTGGTGATGATGTGAGATGTGTGTCTGCGAGCTGTGGATGTGCCAGGAGGGGGATTGTGAGTTTAGTTGGCTGGAAGGTGTAGAGGAGAGCAGAATAGATCTTCTTCTTGTGCTGGACGGTGACTTTTAAGTCAGTACGACACATCCTAAGATTTTTTTTTTTCTTCATCGGCACACCCAACCAATATCCAATTTTAGAACACTGCCGGTCGGCACATTATGTCAATGACAGCACACTTGGCAACCTGGCTATGTTGCAAGACCAAACTATAATTCTACGGCAAATAAGGTATGCCAAGTGAGTATTACTAATTTATGCTCATTTGATCGGATATTTTATATTTTTCAGTGTATCAAGGTTTTTAAGGATGTTTGGCTCGTCATTTGTTAGCTGTGCCGGCAGTAGCTGCCGTTTCTGTATTCTTTTGCCGTTCACCCTGCACCGTTTTGCCGCATGGCTGTGCTAGTGTACTACCCCGTCACACGTATGTTTTGCGCACCCAGCCAGTCTCCCTCGATGGTAGCTGCTCGGGTGTGTGTCTGTGTGTCTGTGTGTGAACCCTGTGTATTTGAGTGACGCCCCGCGTGGTGTGGGTGGCGCCTGAGAGAGAGCTCGAGGACTCGTGTGGGTGTGTGACGCTGGAGGAGAACCCGTGCGGGTGACGCCGTGATATGGTGCGCGGGTGCTGCGGAATTTTACCGTCTCCCGTATCATCATTCCAGACCACTGCGCAGCGTGCACTGTTGACCAGCCCCGTGGCTGCTGCGGTGTACTGTCCTGCTCGGCCCACTGTGGTGTTCTATGACCGCGGTCTCTCCGTGCAGAGCCCAGCGGCGCGCGGCGGAACTCACGTGCCCGCTGTGTCGGCCGCCCGACCCCCGCTCGCTGCACGTGTCAGTGCTGGTGTCCGTGTCAGTGTCGGCCGACACCGAACACCGGGCCGCTGACGCGCCGCTGACGGTGTGGAATGCGGCGCCGGCCTGCCCAGCACGGTCTGGTCAGAGCGGCGCGGCCGGTACGGCACGGCCGGCAGACTAAACAGAGGCCGGCGGCCACGGAGCACTGTGCGGCCAGCCGGCGGCCCTCAGTTGCACGGCACCCGGTGGAACTGAGGGGCGCCGGTCAGCGGTCCACAGGAACGACCTGATGGAAACCGGTCAGAGACCGACATTTGTGACCTCAGAGCCAACATTACCGACCTGAGAGGCACTTCCAGGGGCCATATTACTCACCTGTGGTCCTGGAGTTATAAGGGCTATCCAGGACTTAAAGTTTTCAGATTCATAGGCTGCTAGGCCTTTTCTGTTGTTTCGAGACCGAGGCGGTTAAGTTTTAACTCCAGTAGCTAATTATTTTGATTGGTGGAACTGCGTTTTGTGGGTACTGCTCAGGCATTGCAGGTCTCAAAATGACGTCTGCTGTTTTGGGTTCACGGGACTGTCCAGTTGGTGTCGCGGTCGCGGCCGTTGTCCCGGCCGCCGGCGCCGGGTGCGTGGCCTGCTCTCGGTCACGTCCGCTGGAGAGTGGCGGCGAGGACCGGCGCGTGACGCGGGTGGGAAACGGCGCACGTCGCCACGACTGGCGCCCCGGGGGAGGACGTGTGCTCCCGGCGCCCCTCACCACCTGTTCGAGTAGTGCCGAAGTCCCCCTCACGCACACACATGTACGCACACCTGTCCGCGCCGGGGTGCGGATGACGTGTGTCGTACGGCGCTGCTCTGTGCAGCCTCGGCCGCCAAGCCGTGAGAGGAACTCCGTCCCCCGCCCGGCCGGTCCGCCGCCCACCCGCCCTCCGGCTGGCTGGGGCGAATTAACGATGCTGGTCTATCATGCTGGCATTTGGCGCGCTTTATATGCTCGTCACGGCGGGGCGCGCCATTATTTGGCGCCGCCGCGGCCTATCGACAACACACGCCGGCCGTCGGCCGCTCCTGTCGCCGCTGTCGGTGCCGACGGTCGCTGTCGGACGCCGCCGACCCAGTGGCGGCGGGGCGGCACCGGCGGCTCGGCCGCGGCGCGCGCCGGATAGATGGCTACCAGCGGGGACGGGATGCCTCTCACGGCAGCCGGAGCCGTCCTCCTCCTCCGGGCTGTGGTGTGTACCTGGTGTCGGTGGGGGCGTCAGGACCGCTCCGCTCCTGTGGCGGTATCCGGGGCTGGCGGAAGATGTTTGTGTTAGTCCCGGCGCTGCCGAGGACGTCGGATGGCGGCGCTCATTTCGGAGCCGCCGCCCAACTTCGGTCATTAGGCTATTTCTGGTTGGACGATGATAAAGCACGTCCGTTGCGGGTGTGATGAGGCGATCGCCGGCCGCCCGACAACGCGGCATCAGTGGGCAGCTGGGGGCCGCCCGACAGCGCGGCTTCTTCGGGTCTCTTGCCCGACAGCGCGGCATTGAGGGTCGGCTGGTAGGTTAGGAGGTGCCCCGCGCCCAGTGGCTGCTGACTTGTCAGCTGGTGGGAGGCGCTCCTGCCCGGCGGCTGCCGACTGCAGTCAGCTGCTAGGTCTACTAGTAGGCGCCCCGGGCCCCGGGCGGCTGCTGACTGCAGTCGGCTGATGGAAGTGCCCCGGGGTCCCGGGGTAATAATGGCGCACGATCGGTTGCAGCTTGCAAACCCCTGACGCTAGTTCGTGAATGCATTTTACACGGCTGGATCTGGGGCTGGGAGGATCCCTACCCGAGCGGACTATATTCGAGCAGCTCCAGCAAGTTTGTACGTTTTGTTTGGTCCCCGTGCGTGACAACTGACAGCGCGCTAATTAGTTGTCTCGGTGCCTTAACAAACTACTTTGTTATCGCCACTGCCTAATTAGGCCATTCAGGGTACCTTTGAGCCCCGTCTTTTGTGGGCGGCTTCTTTCCATAGAGTTCCGCTCGGTCTACATCTGTCAGCCAGTTATCGATGCTGGCCGCGGCGGAAGGGAGCACAAGTGAAATGGGAGAGAGTGTCGGGTCGGTGAGTGCTGGGTGGCGCCTCAGCAAATGTTCAAAACTCCATCTCTGGGCTTGTGTCTGTCGGTGTCGATGATGCTTAGTTGTTGGTAAGTATCACCTGCTCGTCCTGATCTGAACCTGTGGTCTGAGCAGTGAGCACCGTTTCGGTACCTCTGACCACTCTGTGCAGCTCACTGAGAGTGCGGACCGCGGGCCGGTGTCGGTGTTCAGGTCACGTGCGATAATGACGCCCCCCCCCCCCCCCGGCCGACGATCGCCAGGATTGGATCGCTGGTCTGATCGGCCGGCCGTCCGCTGACGATCGGTGCCGGCTCACCTACCGATCACGAGATCAGCCGGATCACGCGGGATCAGCCGGATCACGCGGGATCAGCCCGGCTCAGCGGGTCGTGTGCCGCCGTCACGGCGCGGTATATAGTGGCGTGCAGCGATTGTTGAACGGTGACCACTGGCAGAGCCTAGAGCGTCGGCTGACGACCGCCGGCCAAACCATTAGGCGTGCTCGCTCAAATCGCTAACAGCCAGAGATCAGTTGACGGACTCTCACGGTCGTATGGCGGCCCGACGAGCCATGGCGGCCGCGGGGCTGACAGACGGCGGCGGGACTGGCAGCAGAGGCGGGGCTGATCGGGGGGCGAGGGGCGGTGTTTGCGCAGCTGATGAGGCGCCGCCGCTCTATCCTCTGAGCAGACGCGCTGACAGCTTGTCCGAGCTCTGAGATGGTACTATGGGGCCTGAGCCCACTCGCTGTAGAAATACCCCGCTGTCGAGAGGTCCGCATATCCGACCGTCTGATACGTTTGTATGTGTGTTATGATCCGACGGTGTTGGTGTGTTTCTGTGCCCTGGTCCGCTGGTGCTGGTGTGGTGCGCTGTGCTGTTTGGTTGTGTGTAAAATGACCCGTGTATAATGCGCGCAGCGGTGAAAGGCAGACGGTGTCCAGGGCAGCTTACCAAAAGTGTACCACCGTTGTCTGTTCCGAGGTTTGGGGTTGACCGCCGCTGGGGTGTACTGAGCTGCGCGGTCTGTGACCTGACCCGCCCCGCCGCCGGCCAGGTAACGACGGTGACCAAGGTCTACCGGGAGCTGCACCACATCGGCCCCGACGGCCAGCTGCTGGAGCCGGGCCAGGCGGGCGACTTCAGCGCCTACTCGGCCGGTGGGCCGCCCCAGCACCCTCACAGTCCGTACACCATGGACCCGTACCGGCCGGCCAGCCCCGGCAGCGAGCAGGGTGAGTGGACGGCCCGTACAGCCCGTACAGTTCCCACAGCACCCGCACAGTCCGTACACCATGGACCCGTACCGGCCGGCCAGCCCCGGCAGCGAGCAGGGTGAGTGGACGGCCCGTACAGCCCGTACAGTTCCCACAGCACCCGCACAGTCCATACACCATGGACCCGTACCGGCCGGCCAGCCCCGGCAGCAGCAGGGTGAGTGGACGGCCCGTACAGTCCCCACAGCACCCGTACAGTCCCCTGACACCTGCACAGTCCGTACACCATGGACCCGTACCGGCCGGCCAGCCCCGGCAGCGATCAGGGTGAGTGGACGGCCCGTGTTGCCGCCTCATCACGTTATTCCGATACGGTATTGTACATATTTGTAAATAGTCTGTCATGTGGCGGCGCCGTTAGTTATATTCGCGTGCGATGCCCGCGAGATTTAATTTAAATTTCCAGGTCATCGAAAAAGGCTAAAATTGGTGGGTTTTCGATTGCTGTATACGATGCGTAGTTTTGTGTATACTAATTGATTTAGCTCTGAGCCGTAAGATGCATAAAGCTTTAACGACATGACATGACATGACATAGAGATGAACTAAGATTTGAATAAATCATTAGCTGAAGTTTCGCATTTCACCAAAGGCATCTCACCCAACGAATCGAAAATAATGTCCGTTACAGCGAACAGCGGCTCGGCGGCTACAGTTAAAGCTTTAGCATTTAACTTAACTTAAAGCTGATGGATTAAAGTAAAGGCTTAAAGTTAAGGCTTTGTTCGAAGTTGAAGAACGAAACTTGCATTTAGTTTAAAGGCTTTGCATTTAAAACTTTTCACAGTTAAGTTTAAGCTGATGCATTCAAGCTAAAGCATTTAGTTAAAGCCAGTGCATTCAAGTAAAAAGCTTTAAGATAAAGCTTTGTGCGAAGTTAAAGCCAAACGAGATGTAAAGCGTAGAACTATGCAAGAACAATGACATATTTGGATGTAAGCGAGATTAAGTCGGCAAGACTGCAATAGCTTGCGAGATGAGGCCTAAGAATGATTGCAAGATGTGAAAAGCTCTTGTATTTCCAAGGAAACGACGGCTTTAGTGGACTTGCGTGACAGATTGACTGCACCAATTGAAAACGTCTGAAGGCGAGTTCATACGCGCTTCACGACTGACGTCTCGTCTCGTCCTGGCCTGACGTGAGAGACGATCGCATTCAACGCATCACAGAAGATCAATCGGTCCACTGTGCTGCATTTGATTGGTTAATCGGACGCAACTCGCGGAAGTCACAAAATGGACAAGCTTGACAGACTTACCGTGAGTGAGTTGAAAGAGCGACTGAGGGAGAGACACGCAAATATTAAGGGCACGAAGGCCGTTCTAGTTCGACGTTTGCAAGAACTTATGAGATATGAAAAGGACGATGGTTCTAGCAGGAACCGAGAAGACGCCGATTACAACAACGGACAAGATAACGACTCCATAACTGAGGCGGCGTTGAATGACCAATCCGTGTGTGGCGAGTCAGTTGTCTCTTGTCACACTTCCGCGTCTGCCGCCTCAGTGCGCTCACTGCGAGCTATTGAAGCGACAAAAAGAGCTGCATTGCTGGCAAGAGCCTCGTTTCTGCAGGAGAAACGTAAAATCGAATTGGAGGAGCTGAATCTTCGGCTTCGTAGAGAGGAACTAATGATAAGAACCGAGCTTGCAGAATCGGAGGCAAGAGAGAAGATCCTGGCGGAAGCTGATCAGCCAGAGGGCATGGCGGCCACGGCACGACCAGTCACATCCTTCTCCGACCGACAAAACCAGCCGTCCTCTCAGTCTCTGACTTCTGGGAATGCTGAGCCAGAAACAGGGCTCAGGAACCCTACTCAAGAGCGTCGCTGTTCTGATGGACCGTCTGGGAGATCGCGGGAGCCCAGCACGCACGATGCTAGGAGCATAGACGACTCGGAGGCAGCAGGAGCAGCGACAGAGCAGAGGGGTCACACAGAGCCTCAGCAGTCACAGCAGGCAGACTACTCAAGGGTGCTGCTCACTCAGCTTCAGAAGGGCCAGTTGCCTAAGCTGGAGATACCGGTCTTCGACGGCGATGTAACGAAGTATCGCAGTTTTGTTAGAGCTTTCGACTCCAGAGTCGCCAGTAAAACTGATGATCCCGACGAGAGGCTTTATTATCTTCAGACCTATTTGCGCGGGAAGCCTCTTGATATCGTACGTGGATGCGCGCATATGTCAGATGGGTCGGGTTATCTGGAGGCCAGGCGCCTGCTCAACAGGCGATATGGAGACCCTGATTCGGTGTCTTCAGCATTTGTCGACATTCTGACTGATTGGAATTCTATCAAGCCGGGTGATGTGGACAGCCTGGACAAGTTCTCCATCGCGCTCACGTCGTGTCTCAACGTGATGAAAGATATACCTCCAGGGTCGAGAGAGACCGACCATCCAAGAACGATGCGCAAGATAGTGGAAAAGCTTCCCTATCACTGCCAGGACAGCTGGCGCAATAGAGTGATACAAATAAAGGAAGAAGCAAACAGAAAGGTGACATTTGAAGACATCGTAGTTTTCGTTGACAGAGAAGTGAGAAAAATCACAGATCCCACCTTCGGGAAGCTGACCAAGCCAGATGGAAGCGGTAAGAAGCCTCACATCGTGTCTGCAACAGGTGTCAATAAGGACGCATCTCCTCGGGTGATGACGTGCCTGTACTGTGCCGAGCAACATTCAACGGATTCCTGTGAGAGGCTGAATCATGAGCCCTATGAAAAGAGAAGAACGTTCATCGTTGAACAAAGACTTTGCTTCGGGTGCCTTCGGCAGCGGCATCAGATCAGTGTGTGCACAAAAAGGCTGTCCTGCAAGATCTGCAAGGGTCGCCGGGTCCGTATCAAAGCGTCCAAAACCGCAGCACCCAAAGTACGCAACATCCAAAACCGCAGCGTCCAAAGTACGCAACGTCCAAAATACGTCCAAAATCGGGTTTATAGGGGGCATTCACAAAGTCCAAAACCGAAACATCCAAAACCGCAACGTCCAAAAACGTATCATCCAAAAAACGCAACATCCAAAGACGCAACATCCAAAGTACGTAACCTCCAAAACCACAACGTCCAAGACCACGACATCCAAGGCACGCAACAACCAAAACCAACCTAACCTAACCTAACCTAACCTAACCTAACCTACTGATTTTTGCCTACCGGGGATAAGGAAACCTAACCTAACCTAACCTAACCTAATCTAACCTAACCTAACTTAACCTAACCTAACCTAACCTAACCTAACCTAATCTAGGTACTGATTTTTGCCTACCGGGAATAAGGAAACCTAACCTAACCTAACCTAGCCTAACCTAACCTAACCTAACGGTTTTGGATGTTGCGTACTTTGGATGTTGCGTACTTTGGATGTTGCGTACTTTGGATGATGCGTTCTTGGATGTTGCGTTTTTGGATGAAACGTTTTGGATGTTGCGGTTTTGGATGTTTCGGTTTTGGACGTTGTGAATGCTCCCTATATACCCGATTTTGGACGTATTTTGGACGTTGCGTACTTAAGACGCTGCGGTTTTGGATGTTGCGTACTTTGGATGCTGCGGTTTTGGACGCTTTGATGGTCCCCCAGGGTCGCCATCCGACTCCGCTGCACAACGACAAGCAGGCATCTCCTTCCGAATTTTCTGCTACAAACAAGCAAAGCAGTGGTAGCAGTGCAGGGCCGGCAGCCGTCGTAAGAAACGGACGATTGGAGATAGACGGCGCAGAAGTGGCGGCTGGTGCTCGCGGAGACACGTCCACAATGATGGCAGTGATACCCGTGTTAGTTCGATCACCTGACGGCTCACGATCGGTCGTCACTCATGCTTTCCTGGACCTCGGGTCAAGTGCAACATTCTGCACAGATCTTCTGCTTAAAAGGCTGAACGTCAAGGGAAAAGCGACAAAGCTGACGATGATGACTGCTGCTTCTGAAAATCAGTCCGTACAATGTCAAGTAGTCGAGGGCTTATCTATCACAGGCCTTCATTCTTCAACTGCTGTTCAGCTGCCACCCACCTACACACTTGAAAGGATACCAGTTAAACACGAGGACATCGCAACCCCAGCCGACATCGGTAAATGGATGCATCTCGAGGGAATTCCTCTGACACAAGTAGACGCTGAGATCGGCCTCATGATTGGCGGAAACTGTCCCGAGGCTTTGTGTCCACTTGAGGTCAGGAGAGGCGGTGAAGGCGAGCCATTTGCGTTCCGTTCAGAGCTGGGCTGGGCTGTGTATGGACCCCGAGAACTCCGATCCACCAGAGATCATGGAGCGGCAAGAGTAAACAGAGTCAGTGTACTCAGAGGTGATTCTGATATTCATGAGAAGTTCGTCTCGCTATATAATAAGGAATTCGAAGACAACGGCAGCTCCACCGACGTGGGACTGTCAGTGGAGGACAGAGTGTGGTTGAAAACGGTCGAAGCGGGAACACGCTATATCGATGGACATTACGAGATTCCCTTACCTCTGAAAGAAGACGCACCATTTCCAGACAATAAGCAACAGGCATTGCTTAGAGCTGAGCACCTGAAAAGGAAAATGAAAAAAAACGACAAGTACATGGAAGATTACAAGAAATTTGTTAATGACTTGATCGAGAAGAACTATGCCGAGAGAGTCAAAGACAGTCACCTCAAAACCGCTGGGCAAACCTGGTACATTCCACATCATGGAGTTTACCACCCCGTCAAGCCGGACAAGATTCGTGTAGTGTACGACTGTTCCGCAAAGTTTCGAAACGCCTCACTGAACGATCGTCTTATGCAGGGCCCAAACCTCACCAGTTCTCTCCTCGGCGTTCTGATGAGATTCAGAGAACGGCCATTCGCAGTCATGGCCGACATCGAGAAAATGTTTTACCAAGTGCGCGTTCCATCAAGGCAAAGAAGTCTACTACGCTTCCTGTGGTGGCCTGACGGTGACGTAAGAAAGGATCTGCAGGAATATCAGGTCAACGTTCA